TTTACCCGGTGTCCTGATTGATCCACTCAACAGAACTGTCACCTTTCAACTCCCCTCACACCCCTGGCAGATTCGTGATCCACAGTCGGCGGGGAGTCACAGACTACGCCTTTCAGGCTTACAATCACGACACCACACACTCCGAAAATACACTTTTCCACAGCAGCTAGTACCAACCACAGCACAGCAGTTGATGCAGCTCTATATGACAAAAGGTCATTCAAAGGAACACTGCGCCGCGGCGCTGCGGCCAAGGAGAAAAAGACGATCCGCCAGCAGAGTTACTGTTCACTTCGTAATACACATGTTCTTCACCTTCCTTGAGTTCTCTTTTCGACGTCCTGATCTTCCATTATTTGACATACATGTATTTTCTGATCCGGTCTAGTTGCGCCGTGTTCGGCTTCTTGTGTGTGTCCACTCCTGTTTCCAAGGACACTAATCTAGCTATTTCTTTTCCTATGACTTTACGAACCTTTGTACAGCACCAGCAGGGGGCACGGCGGCCGTTCACCATGGTGTTCGGCTGGAAGAGATACTGGACGCAGTATCTTGTACCTGCAATTTTTAATAGTACTCTCAACGACTTGTTCAAACATTCTGGTCGACCGACTCAGCACTTTCTTTTTAGTCAAGGTCTAGTTCGCAGTAACACTAAAGTCACTAAAGTGCTAATGCTCACCGCGAACTGCCTGAAGACAAGCTCCACGGAGCAACCTTCTCAACCTTCTCAAGTGTGTGTCCACCTCTGTAACTAAGAGTTTCTGTTTTTCTCAACTTTTAAGTCGCAGGGGGCGTGACGGTCGATTTCCTAGTCACGCCAACGAAGCTAGGGAAATCGACTGGATGGAAGTTTGGACGCAAACTTCTGTACCAGCGCGGATGAAAACTTTTGCACACGCTGAGACTCCACTTTTCCTTTTGCTGTTTCCATGGTGGTTGTTCGCATGATATCCCCCAAAACATGTTTCCTTAGCTTTGGTAAAGTGCTAGCGCGTTTGTTAAACAGTTCTGTTCTTCGGACCCTTGCACCTTACCGTTCTTGCAGTAAAGGGCTAATGCAGTAACTAGCTTCCGCAGTCAAGTGAACTCCTTTGTTAAAACACCTTCAAGTGCTCCGACTCTTTCACCTTTCGGTTCCATCGCCATTTTTCCTGGGAATTGAATCAACTGCAAACCAATGTCAGAGTGTGACTTGCTCAGTCGTCCCACTTGGGCGCTGGGTGTGATCCTCCGCAAGGAGGCGCTGTTTTCGTTCCGGAAATCGTGTAACTGACTCCACCGTTCTCCACCTCTCTTTGGATTTTCTTAACCGCTTTAGTTTCACTACTGGATTTACTGAATTTGATGCCGTCGGGCTTACGAAATACCTCCACTCACATTTCCATGTGCTGCTTTTCCATGTGAGGAATTGAGACCAGTGAAGCTACTGTCCACACTTGCACTTCCACACACACACACACCACCCTGCAACCTAATTCGTGCTTCTATCCCACCCGCTATCTAGAAGGAAATGGTACTCGACACACTTGTGCGTCGGTACCTTTCCTTCTGTTTCTCCTTTTCTACTCCTAGCTACCCGGGCGGTTTAAGACGTATGTCCCGCTTGCTAACTACTGCGTTTAATTCATTCGGCTAAGTAGTCAGTAACTAGCAGGTTTCGTAACTAGTGGGCCTTGTCACTACACCTATCTTTCTCTCTTTCCTTTGCGTTTTCCTTTCTGTCTTTCTTTCCTTTCGCTCTAAGGCTTTTTAGGTGATTAGTAAGTTCCCCCAGAGCGCCGGCATCGGCGTTCTGTGTGTGTCCACCTCTGTAACTAAGAGTTTCTGTTTTTCTCAACTTTTAAGTCGCAGGGTGCGTGACGGTCGATTTCCTAGTCACGCCAACGAAGCTAGGGAAATCGACTGGATGGAAGTTTGGGCGCAAACTTCTGTACCAGCGCGGATGAAAACTTTTGCACACGCTGAGACTCCACTTTTCCTTTTGCTGTTTCCATGGTGGTTGTTCGCATGATATCCCCCAAAACAGGTTTCCTTAGCTTTGGTAAAGTGCTAGCGCGTTTGTTAAACAGTTCTGTTCTTCGGACCCTTGCACCTTACCGTTCTTGCAGTAAAGGGCTAATGCAGTAACTAACTTCCGCAGTCAAGTGAACTCCTTCGTTAAAACACCTTCAAGTGCTCCGACTCTTTCACCTTTCGGTTCCATCGCCATTTTTCCTGGGAATTGAGTTAACTGCAAACCAATGTCAGAGTGTGAAACTCTTGCAGTCACAGGGAATCCTTTGATTGAATTTATAGGAGGGGCATGGCAGCTGTTTCCCAAGCCATGCCATCGAAGCTATGGGATTCAACCGGAAGGGAATGTGGACGCACATTCCTGTACCTGCAGTTTTCATTTTGACTTGGAAACTCCTAGAGGTCCCTGCTTTTAACTAGAACAAGACATTCGAAGGCACCTGTTTGCATCCGCAGTCACGCTTTGCGTCGCTTTCAGTTGTCGCACTTGGCAGAGTTGGTCGACGTTGGCGCTTTGGGACTTTGGTGTCGCTAAGATGGTCAGCCCGCATTACATACCTTTTCCTGGAACACTTAGGCGTTCATAACTAGGTGGGCGTGTGGCATGTGGCATTCAATTGTACGCAATATCTCGAGTGTGTGTGTGTGTAGCCTTTGGAGTCACAAGGTTCCTTTTGGATTGTTTCCTTTTTCAGCAGGGGGCATGCGGCCAGCACGCAAACACACGCCAACGAAGCTATGCGTGATGGTGGAAGCCAGGTCTGATCAACCTGGTGTACCTGCTTTTGAGAACCTAAGTATGGCTAAAGCTGTCCAATACGTTGTTTCTGCACTTCGTGTCTTTGCGATTAAAGGGCTAATGCAGCGGCAAGTCATTTCGGTTTTGCTCTGGAGGCCTTGGAGGTTTCGTGGAGTCATTCAGTTTTGTAACTCGCCTGAACCCTTAGGCACTTGGTTACCTAGGTCGCCGTGTGGCGAGTGGCATTCACACCCGTACGCAAAAAACTTAAGTGTGTCTGGCTTCATGCCAGCCCAGGGCGACCCCGCAGAGTGGCCCCTGTGGACCCGTTGAACGGGGGTTTGTCTTCGTCCCTGCGCCCGGGACCAGAGTAGTCCGCAGCGGACAAAGTAGGCTTAGGCCAAAGTTATTTGCCAAGACTTGACGAAGCATTGAATTCTAAGCTGGCCTTTGCCTTTACGTGACCACGGCGGTCAAAGCTGCCAACCATTTTTGCACGGCGTACGTGGCCGCAGCGGCCGAAGCTTGTTCAAGACTCGTTGGAGTCAGTCGGGACCACATACAGCGTCTACATGTAAACGAGGCTTGCCCAGGTGTTTCTAATGAGGTTTGGCTTCATCGGTTCGCGTCCCCTCCATTTGGTTCTCTTTTCATCCTTTCCCCCTTTACACACATCTGTTTTCTTCCGTTCTTTCATGTCATCCTGTCTTCATGTCTGGCCATCTCATCCTTTCTTTCGTTTGCACGCACATGGGTCCCGGCCGGCTCTTTCGTTTGCACGCACATGTGTCCCGGCCTTAGTGTGTACGTGCACAACCTACTTCAACCTAGGCTTCAGGTCGCCAAGGTCTTTATAATGAGGCGGGTTTTCATTGGTTGTCCCTGTGCACTTGGTTCCCTTTCATCGCAACCACATACACCTTCGCCCCGTCTGGCCCGCCCTTTTCATGTCTTCATTCTTTTGTCTTTGCTGCGCCCACACTTTCACAACCGTCCTAGCCTTAATTCTTTTTGCCTCCCCTCGGGGGGGCGTGCACACTTACACTTTGTCCCGACCTCAGCGCTTCTCGCCTCCCCTCAGGGAGGGGTGTGTGTAACCTTTGGAGTCACAAGGTTCCTTTTGGATTGTTTCCTTTTTCAGCAGGGGGCATGCGGCCATCACGCAAACGCACGCCAACGAAGCTATGCGTGATGGTGGAAGCCAGGTCTGATCAACCTGGTGTAACTGCTTTTGAGAACCTAAGTATGGCTAAAGCTGTCCAATACGTTGTTTCTGCACTTCGTGTCTTTGCGATTAAAGGGCTAATGCAGCGGCAAGTCATTTCGGTTTTGCTCTGGAGGCCTTGGAGGTTTCGTGGAGTCATTCAGTTTTGTAACTCGCCTGAACCCTTAGGCACTTGGTTACCTAGGTCGCCGTGTGGCGAGTGGCATTCACATCCGTACGCAAAAAACTTAAGTGTGTGGTGTTGCACTCTGTTTTCTTTGCGGCTCACTGTTTAATGTGGGTCCCACAAAGTCATCCGTTTTTGCCAAGACCACGTGACACATCCTTATGGGCTCCTGTGGCTTTTATGCACCCAGAAGAATCTGCATGGCTTGACTGCTCAACAGCGGGTGCGCACCTGGATTTCGCACAAATTCGCACATTTGTTGCTGGCTAGACCAGCACTGGCATAGGACTGATGGCTCTTACATTCTAGCATGCATTGGAGATGGTTGGACCAGCAACATTGTCGGCTCTGTAAGAAACACGCATCCAAGTTGATTTGACCCAACTCAAACCCCAGGAACTTTCTTGCTGATTTGTCCAGTGGTGTTCTAAATTGTCAGGTGGCAAGCGCGCCAGGCACAAATTTGTCCAATAAACGTTTGGCAGCAAAGTGTCGGCTAGCGTCTGCGCTTTTGGTCGGGTCCGTCCTCACAAGATGACCGGCATCCTACCACACACAAGAAAGGAGAAGAAACGAGAAGTGGGTCAAGATTGACATTTCCTTCAAGGATGGTGAGGTTACTGTTCCTTTGCAGCGTATGATATCCAGGTGAAGTGATTGCAAAGAGAAGGGAAAACCACAGAAGTGAAGAAAGGGTTGAGAAGGACCTGCATGGATCACTTAAGCACTTATTTTTGAGATCAACCCCAAATATATATATATATATGCCTTTCTCTGGGGAGGCTTTACGAAGCCAAATATACAGGCGAAGCAGCTTCAACCAAATCACAGCAATTTGAAGCTGGGGCAAAGGCATCAACGGCAACTACGTCTCTAAGAAATGGGCCGGCAACCTCAAAGCACAGCTGATGTTCAACATCTTGATGGAGCACCAAAATGATTCGGGATCTGGGCTCTTTCTGCCAGGAAGGCAAGTGCGTATGCGGATTTCTCGCCTTGGTCTCAAGTTGTTCATCATACTTCTCTTACAATTTTCACTTGTCTAATTGTGAAAATGACTCTCGGGGTGAGACCAGTCAAGTCGTCCAAAGGAAGCACAGCCTCAGCTAAAATTAGGGATGATGTTTGCAGTCTATCGAGTCATGCCGAGGATGTTGCCACAGCTAAGCTTGGAAGTATGATGTTGATGAAGGAAACAGCGACCCACATGTTCCGTAGAGTCTTCGGAAAAACACCTGCACAGGATGTAGTTTCATACTTCATGTGACTTTGACCAACTCCCCAGTCTGACCTGGCTTTTGCTCTTCGACAAAGTTTGCTGATGTCTCAAAACCTAAGATGTGCTCCAAAAAGGCATCTTTCAGCTGAACTGCTGTGCTTGCAAAAAGAGGAAATGTTCTGGGTGCAAAGCCAGACACCCCAAGCATTGCAGAGGAAAAGCCAAAAAAGATTGAATTCCAGAAAGGTGGCTGCCTCACATGAGCTGGCTCGACTTTGTTGGTTGAACGAATCCGGTGGTCATAGCAAGAATGCACCTTTCCCATGCAAGATTGTCGTACAATTGCCCCAGTCCGGCATCCTCAAGAGAATCACTGCCCTTCGCATGCTCCATAAGTCACACTGACTGCTTCATTATGTCCTGCAAGAAGATCACACAGAATGTTCCGAGGATGAAGAAGACTGACCTCACCGACATCGCCCTAGAGGTGCAAGACTTCATCCTATTTGAGAATCCAGCAGGTGAAACACGAACAGCATCGAGGCGACAGCTGAGCTCTCCTTGCACATGGGATTTTGTTGATAAATGCCCAAGATTCTACTGCAAAGATCCTGCATGCCCATCAGCATACAAGCTGCGAAGAAGCCCAAAATGCAAATTGCAGTTGGAACCTGACAGAGCAAGAGAATACTCCTTGAACGCTTATAATAGCCTAGCTCCAGAAAGAATAGGGTGGCCAAAGCAGCTTGCATCACTAAGAAACAGGCACTCTCAATTCCAGAGAACATTGGCGAGCATTTCAAATAGTCTGCAGCACTGACTGAAGAAACCACCCCTGTCGCAGTGTACCTCATTCTGCAGGGGTCAAAACTCTTCGTGCGAATAGAGTGATTCAGTCACAGTCGGCATGCATATGACTGCACGTCCCAAACTTTAGCAACAAAGTAACCTAATTACATAATATATATATTATATACTGTATTACTGTATATACAAATTATGTAAGTGCGGACGCATTTCACTGACGGACCCGTAGCTCAAACACGCGTTGGCAAACCAAAAGAATCTGCATCAACGAGCCAAAGAAAAGTAGGGGCATGACTCATGACAGTTTAAGAATTGCATCCTAGCTTCCTTTAGGTGTCCGCTTTCTGCCCCCCTTCGCTTCGTTCCTTTTTCATGACCTTCGACCTTCCCTTCCTTCTTTCTCCCTGCTTCCCGCCAATCTTCCTATTCTTCTCCCTTCAAGTGAGAGTAAAGCCATGATCAGCAGCGGAGCTAGTCACGGAAACGGCAACTGACATCAACTCGCTGCTGCAACCCCTATTCGAATTGAAGGCCCAGCAGTGCAAACGCAATGAGGGGAGGTCAACTGCCCTCAGCTGCTTGTTAAGCAACCTTCAAGCACACAGCCATGACCAAGTTGGATGATGTCAAACAGAGATTGCAGGAGGTGACGACAGGAAGGAACTAGTCTGTCTAGAGTCGAGGATAACATGTTCATCGTCCGTGTGTATCACGTGTTGCCGGTGTAGTCTCAGCTAAAGATTTTCCACCCAGTGGTCACTGAGCCTTCTTCCTTGAGGATCAGGGGTGGTATCCTTTGTTGAAACAATTGCCGTCCTCTTCATCAGCCAAACCTTAAATAGAGAAACCTGCTGTGTATGAATGGTTTGGGCAAGTCTGGGGTCTGGTGTTTGTCCAACTCCTCCCAAACCCCGCCGCAAAGCAGGAGGCCTGTGGCTAAAGGGATTCATTTGGCCCAGTTCTCCCTTGATCAACCTTTCGGAGTTTGTTGTATGTCAGTCATAGTTGCTGAAATGTGTGTATGTGTGTGTCATTTCCGAAACACTGGAGAGTATGGCGGCCTGTTTGTTTTTGGTGTTTAACGTGCAAAAAACAAAGGTGCGCGGCAAAGTGAAGCAGTATCACTGAGAACTCGACGACAAAATAGTAAGACATGCAGCCACTGATGCGGTCCTTAGGGTGCTGGAGCACAGCAAAGCCCAGTGGTTAAAATCGTGAAAAGAAATATATATATATATATACACAGTATATGTATATATACATTCATTCATTCACTCACTCATTCAAATACATATACAAACACAGAAACAAACACACAAACAAACACACAAACAAACACACAGAAATAGATGCATCCATCCATCCATCCATCCATGCAGACAGACAGACAGACAGACAGAAATACACACATACACACATACACATACACATACACGCACGTACATACACACCCACACATACACACCCACACTTAGATGGTTGCTCGCAAGAGCTAGGATCAGAATGAAGTCCCACTTTAGCGATTACATTACCAGCTGCATTGTAGACCTTGACTTGCAAAACGGTATGGAGTGCTGAGTCGGAGTAACAGAAGGTTTGAACATGGGTGAAACGTGAGGAAAGGACTTAAAAGTTTGCAGGTACACATCAGGACGTCTCCCGATGCATCACCAGAGAATGTGGACGTCTTCGTTGGCAGTGATTCCACAAACTCTGTCACTGCCCCCTGCCTCTTTTTGCTCGCGCTGTTTTAGTTTCAGTTTTGTTCCTAGTAGCAAGGCCAGGAGCTACTAGTAGCATCCAGCCTTCTAGTAAAATCTACGGCAGGCATACTTACCAGGCACAAACCTTGGAAACAGGTGTTAACACTTAGATTGTTGCTCGCAAGAGCTAGTATCAGTACGAAGTTCCCCTTGACTTGATGAACGGATGAAGCACAAACCGAAAGGTGGCTGAGTCGGCGAACTTGTAGACGTTTAACAAAATTTCAACTCCTATGCATTAGCAGCTTTACTGAATACCTAGCAGGCCGCCTATGCATTAGCCGCTTTACTGAATACCTAGCAGACCGCCTATGCACTAGCCGCTTTAAACAGTTTTAAACAGGTTTGCAGGTACGTTTTCACACCTACCACTGCCGGTCTTCGTTGGCCACAGCAGTAGTGACAGGTCTGTGGCCCCCTGCCTCTTTTCTCGCTGAGAAACTGTATGTTAGTAGCGATACCAGGAGCCCTTAGTAGCAAAACCAGGGGCCCTAGTAGCGTTCTTTGTGACTGAAAACCTTAGGCACAGGTGTGGACACACACACACGAAGCCGTACTCGGCGCGCTGACCCTTGCTTGCAGTTTTGTAGCGTGGCCAGGAGTCGCTAGTAGCGTCCTTACACCCCGTAGAAAGGTCAGAGGCCCCTAGGAGTACCGTCCTGGCTCCTGGTAGGGAGGCCAGAAGCCCCCACATAGCGCCAATATTGGCGCTTTTTGAAAAGTACTAGCCACCTAAAAAGCCTTAGAAAGAGAGTGAAAGCCTAAGCAAACAAAACAAAAGCAGACTAAGAGGGCAAGAAAAAAAGATAGGTGTAGTTACGAGGCCCACTTAGTTAAATGAAAGTAGAACGCGAGCGGGACATTTCTTCTTAAACCGCCGGGTAGCTAGCAATAGGAAAGGAGAAACAGAAGGAAAGGCACCAACACACAAGTGTGTTGAGTGCGATTTCCTTCTGTTGCCCGAATAGCGGGTGGGATAGCAACGGAGGCCCAGGGGCAGGGAGGTAGGGGGACAAGTGTGTTGAGTGCGATTTCCTTCTGTTGCCCGAATAGCGGGCGGGATAGCAACAGAGGCCCAGGGGCAGGGAGGTAGGGGGGAGGGTGGGTTAGGGTGGCCCGTAGGCTTGCCATCATTGGCATTCAAGTAAAGCGATTTGGGCCGGCGCAACCGATTGTCTGAAAGACACCTGGAACCTAAAGAAAGGCCTCAAGAAACGAAAAGCAACAAAAAGATAGAAAGAACCGAAGAGCATGAAAAGCGCACGCAACAAAAGCAGTCGCTGGTTTGACATGCCCGCGTCCTAAGCCCCGCCTGTGATTACTCCGAATCGGTTGAAATCTCAGTAAGCCCTGCGGCACAGTTTCAGTAAGCCCTGCGGCATCGGATCAGTGGTATCAAGCAAAGACAGTCAATCCAAAATGTAAGTCTGGACTGGAGTGTGAGTCTCAGTAAGCCCTGCGGCGTGGTATCCCCCAGGATCTGGGTCTATGCACACGCAGCGCCGACGGGGATCACACCACAGCCCTCAGTGGGACCCTGTGGCGAAAACACACTTAGATTGTTGCTCGCAAGAGCTAGTATCAGTACGAAGTTCCCCTTGACTTGATGAACGGAATGAAGCACAAACCGAAAGGTGGCTGAGCCGGCGAACTTGTAGATGTTTAACAAAGTTTCAACTCCTATGCATTAGCCGCTTTACTGAATACCTAGCAGACCGCCTATGCATTAGCCGCTCTACTGAATACCTAGCAGACCGCCTACGCATTAGCCGCTTTACTCAATACCTAGCAGACCGCCTATGCACTAGCCGCTTTAAACAGTTTTAAACAGTTTTGCAGGTACGTTTTCACACCTACCACTGCCGGTCTTCGTTGGCCACAGCAGCAGTGGCAGGTCTGTGGCCCCCTGCCTCTTTTCTCGCTGAGAAACTATATGTTAGTAGCGATATCAGGAGCCCTTAGTAGCAAAACCAGGGGCCCTAGTAGCGTTCTTTGTGACTGAAAACCTTAGGCACAGGTGTGGACACACACACACACACTATGCCGCAATCGGCGCTCTGTACCCCTTGCGTGAAACGATTTTTTGCGCAACAGCTTTGTACACATAACGCCGATATCGGCGTTCCGGAAAATTACTAGTCACCTAAAAAGCCTTAGAAAGACCGGCAAAGAAAACAAAACAAAAGCACACGAAGAGGGCAAGAAGGAAAGATAGGTATAGCGACGAGGCCCACTTAGTTAAATGAAAATAGTTAGCGAGCGGGACTTTTGTCTTAAACCGCCCGGGTAGCTAGGAGTAGGACAGGAGAAACAGAAGGAAAGGCGCCAACACACAAGTGCGTTGAGTGCGAGTTCCTTCTGTTACCCTAAATAGCGGGTGGGATAGCAACAGAGGCCAGGGGTAGGGAGGGGGCCCAAAGGCATTGCCATCAGTGGCATTCAAGTAAAGCCGATTTCGGCGCAACCCATTGTCTGAAAGGCACCTGAAACCTAAAGAAAGGCCTTTATGACCGAGGCCCACATCAATTTGGCTGATGACTGGGGGATAGTTGAAGCAGCCCTCATTCAAGAGGCCGCCCAACAACGCACCAACTCGACTGGACAGTGGCTCGACAAGCACAAAGGAAGCTCTCCACCACACAGAGCAACCACATCAAGACCTGGAACCAGGCGGCCATCATTACAAGCAGGGCGACAAACCCAAAACATGCTATCTGCGCAGTGTGCCCGCTACACCCAAACACATACTGTGGCTCTGCAAGTGGCACCACAACCAAGCCCATGAGCCCTTACCCATCCCTTGCGCAGAACGACTCCAAGATCCACTTGAAGAATTGTGGGCGTACGGTTGGATCCCAAGGCCCTGCCACTCCAAGGTCATGGATGTTGGCACAGCCCCTTCCACTTCAACCCTGGCAAGCCTTAGCGGTGACCTTGGATGCCACACCCTGCTGTTATGACAAGAGGGCCCAGGCCTGCTCTGCTGACCCTGATCCGCAAAGGCACCATCACAGGTATGCCACCAGGACCACAAACCAAAGCCAGAGCACTCTTCCACGGACTGACCACGTTGGCCCAGTATGTCCTGACACCTGTAAACGCGATTGTCCAGCTTGGCTCTGTGCGGGAAGCATGGACCAATCCTCGAAAGCGCAAGGGCTTCAGCGATCTGGTACAAGACCTGCCAGAAGAGCTCTTTGGCCGCATCACCCCTCTGTACATCCACAAGAACCAGAGGACCCCAGATGCACCTGGCAGCGAGCCACACCTTCGATAGCGCCAGAGGGATGCTGCCAACACCATCCATGACCAGCATGCCGAAGCATGGCAAAGAACTCCGGACCAGGACCACCTTGAGGTCTACAAACATGCCGCTGCCCGGCTTGAGAAGATCTACAAAGACCCTCAGCACTACCTCCATGAGAAACCAGTACGACGAGCAGGCCACACCACCAAACACTACAGGAAGAGGTTGATCCAACAATGTCGCCTGCCATGGATCACCGGGAAGCACCAATGGGAACCACACCGCAGTGGTTACCAGTGTCACACGTGCCAAACTCGCGTCCACCAAGGGTTGATGGTTGAGACCATAGAACAAAGGCTCCAACAACAGTGTGAACTCCTGACCCACGATGCACCGGAGCCCGACCTGCCGGCCCACAAAGCAGTCGGCAAGAAAACCACCAGGGCCAGTGTCATAGCCCTCCTGGCCGCGCAGCAACAACACCTAGCGGCCTAGCGCCTGATGAACACGCCTTCCAGGAGACCATTGGATACCTCAAGTGCACCAAACGCAGCCTCTCCGTGCACAAGCGAGCCAATGAGGAACTGTTCACCGGGTTTGCGCAAAGCAAGTGCATCGACGAGGCCTTCTCAAAGCCACACGATGGCCACCAGACACATAGTCTATGGCAGAAGGGCAAGGCATCAAACGCCGCAACTGTGGGTTGCAAAGTCATTTAGACGAAGCAGACAGAGTCATTTTGACCAAAGGGCTTCGCAAGGAATGCAAGGGACAGAGTCAAACCTCTCCCAACTAGTTCAACTCTTTGGCACACAGGTCAAAGGAAGCCAAGGCACCACAGGCCATAACACCCAGCCGGCACCGAGCACGCCTCATCAGCCCTCGACACCTGCTGAAGGCTTCTCGCCACCAGCTCCCAAAAAGCTCAGATTCTCAGATGAGGTTTTGAGCGAGGAAGCAGCTCCACTGGTCCACTGGCCATGACACCCAGCCCGCCGGAGCAAGCCGAAGAAGAGACAGTCGACGATGACCCAACCATAGAAGGTTTGCAGGTCGACTACTTCTGACTCGAGCTCTACGGCACCTGGCGCGCTGCCTGCTGCCCTGGCCGCGATGGCCAAAGAGCCCAGCCAAACAACCAGAAAAGGTCCCTCTAGGATAAAAAACAAACAAACAAACAAACAAACAAACATACATACATACATACATACAGGTTACATACATACATACAGGTTACATACATACATACAGGTTACATACATACATACATACATACATACACACATACATACATACATACATACATACATTGGGTGGTCACTTTGCGTGTTGGCTCCCTTCATTTCAAGGCAAAACAAAGTGATTACACCAGCATCGACCCCAAGGCAGCAGCAGCAGTTTTGAGCCATGGGAAACCAAGGGCCAGCTGTCAGAGTAGACCGGCCACGTGGCCCCTGCATCTTCAAGGAGGTTGGAAACCAGGGCATTGGGATGAGGAGCGTGGGGACGAAGGCGCCTGTCGATGAGTTGGCATAGTCGTCCCAAAATTGTCCCAGTTGGCTGGTTCACAATCTGAAGCGGATGATCTGCCCGGGGGGGGTCCTCTGCGTCGACCAGGAGAGATGGGTCCAGAGCGGATCGCCGGCCAGCTTCTTCTTCAGCATTTTCGCGAGTCTCTCCAGCAGTTCTTGAAGCAGGTGTTGGATCAGCACTGTTCAAAACGGCTCACTCGAAGAAGCGCTCACTTGTTCAGACTTCCAAGCCTTCATCGTTTCGAAAAGCATTGGCACCACAGAGCCTTTCCCGAGTTGCGAAAGAATGTGGAATGTATCCCTGCTGGCCAGAGCTTGGAGCTGGGGTTCGTTCCCCATGGAGAGCTGAATGAGTCCGGCCAACGTGCTCTGTGGGTGGGAGCTCCATGTTTCCTTTTCCCCTACCCTTCACGGCACCCTTGCCCTTGGATTTGCCCTTGGTCGGTGGTGAAGAATCATCTCAGCCCAGCATCCAGAAGAGAAATGAGAGACAAAGGGAGACAAAGCAGAATCATCTCAGCCCAGCATCCAGAAGAGAGATGGGAGACAAAGGGAGACAAAGCAGAATCATCTCAGCAAAGCATCCAAAAGACGGATGGCAGAGAAAGGGAGACAACACGATCCGGAAATCATCTTGGCCCAGGATCGTTTCTATGCCAGAATTGAGAACACCTCACAGCAAAGCTGTTTGCGGAACTAAGTTCCATGCTGCTTGGTGGAGGAGTTGAGCAGCAAGTTGTAGATTCCCCCATTGAGGGGCAGCGCTGTGACGACCTGGAAGGCCAGAAGGCATCCGAAGGCAATGCTGCAGTTGCTCTGATGTGCTCTGCAGTGTTCTCTTCAACAATGTCTTGGCCTCCCCATAGACACTGCGAAAGCAATAGAGAGTCAATGAAGATAACAAAGTGCAGATGGGAGAGTACCTGAGCGGCACAGCATCACCTTCATCTGCCTCTTGGACTTTTACATACCTTCAGCTGCTTGGCTCAGCTCTTTGCACTCCAGCGTTCTTTGAGAGCTCTCCAACAACATAGAAGCCTCCATCAGTTGGCTACAAACCCAACAAGTGGCGAACAAGTGAAATGTCTATTCTCTCCACCAGTTACAGCACCAATTTCAATCAGTGTCTGCAAAAGCTGGGCCACTGACAGCTTGCAGTAATATCATTGCCACAAATTGCGGTGCTTGGAAGCTCTCCAATCTTGTGGGAATCATCTTCCTTGCAAAGGTGTCTGCAATGCTAGTTTCTCACGAGTTCCATGCAGCAAACATTCAGTTCGAAGCTTCACTTCGCACGTCCTCATGTTCAGTCGCTTGTGCGAAATCCTTTGGAACATCTGTGATTCCGAAGGTCCCACCTGCAGAGTGGGATGAGGCCCAGCGGGGCATTGAAACAGGTGGGCTTGCGGATGCGGATGCTTCCACAAACTCCAAACAAAGCCCAAGGCCCATATTCTCATCTGCAGCAACTCCTGGGTAGGATAAGCGTCTCTCTTTACTCGTGTTTTTGCACTTAGAGCCCGGCCATTCAAAGCATCATTGACTGTTTGCTCTCGGCACTCTGTGAGGAATTGAAAGGCTGGCCTGCATGCTTGTGGTGATGTTTGCTAGGCTCAAAAGAGCCAACAGGTTTACAAGTACTTCTAAGATTGAAGCCCAAGGTGGATATATAAGCGGGATGGTTGTGTCAAGTTCACTGTCAGGTGCACGCGGAGGTAGAGGAACAGGGAGTACATGCTCCCACAGCGTTTGGAATGCAGAGTGCCCCTTTGTATTTTGCTACGTTTGTCTACTCTAGCCAAGCTTATTGCTACCAAATCATGCTTGATTTCAAGCTGATGTGGCTAAACAGAATCTAGCATACCGAACAGTGTGATACAAGCGTGGATTTGCAGCAGGACCAACCAGGCCAAGCAGAAAGGAATGGAACCGGATTGCTGTGTCGGATGACCGGGAACAAATCTCTCCCAAAGAAATGGCTTTATGTTCCAAATGTGAGTGGTTATTTTCACTGCCTCACTTTCTATCAATCTCTCTCAGTTCCTCTTCCTTTCTATCTTTCTCATTATTCTCCTCTTCTGACCCTATTGCTATTGTTGATGATCCTGTTGTCGCTGTCGCTGTTACTGGCGCCGGTGCATCGCCGCCGTTGCTGTTGTCTCCATCTCTCCTCCAAAACCCTTCCAAGTGCTGGCCGAGAGCTTTGAACATGTCTGTAGAGGAATTGGTGTATACATGTCCGTATATATAGAGAGAGAGTTTATAAATATCATATAATATATTACATAGTAACATGTTTTGTGTATACATTATGGAAGTTTTTACACGAGGAATTGGTCGGCCTGCTGCCAAGATCTCGCTCTGTCAGGTTCATCCTAGCAAAAGTCGAATGGCTCACACAGGCGTGGCCTTCAGTGCTCTCCCAGAGTAAGTCACCGACATATGGGTATGTCGAGCTTTCTGTTTTTCCCGAGCTGCCTCAATGACTCAGCTCATTTGGATGGTGAAAGCTAAGGACCACAAACATTCCAGGCTTCAGGCATCCTGGAGCATCTGCACCTCAATGAACGTTGTGGTGCTGCTCCTTCGTGCTCCTGATTGCACTCTTCTTGCAAAAGCACGGACACGCAGCACATGTGTGTGTATATTGAGCCTACTCTTGGTGAAGACTCATCTGCCATCTTGGCGGCCAAAGGGGCAACGATTGGCCAAGAAAGTCGTGCGTCAAGCAGTGCAATAAGGCTTTGAAACGGTTCATTGCTAATGTTCTTTTCATGTTTATGTTCGACTTGTCTGAGAATTGAGAGGAAAAACACAAAATAATAAGTTGCTTTTCACACAGGCATCAAGGTGACTTCAACACTTCCGTTTCGAAAGACCTAGGGGCCCTTCAAAGCACGAGGTAGCATAGCATCTTTTGCTGCGGCCAGAGTCCCGTGAAATTTCTTCACAGGCCCAAAAATGCCGGTGAAACCAAAGAACATGACAGGTACTTTGTCCTACGGGCAAAGCATGCACCTGTGTTTCAGAGCACAAAGACTTCCTTGCTGCAAATGACGCTTACACTTCTAGCCTTCTAGCACACACCATCTATTAGAAGCATCTTAATGTCTAAAGAATCAAAGACTTCCGTGCATTCTTCAGCCACCATTTGGGCAATCAGCGCATCTCTACATTGCATCCATTGCCAGCTGTGCCTCACTGCAGCGCACAGCAACACAGCGCCAACAAATCATGCCGCACTCGGGCGGGTTTCTAGGGACCAAAGTGTTCTGTTTGACAGAGTGCAAAAGTAGCGAGTCTGATTAATGTAAGCAACAGGTCCATCCTTTCATCAAGAAAGGCCCATAGTTCCTATGGCATAGACTCCTAAACAGTCCTAGCAAGAAAAACTGTCCGGCTGCGTCTGTCATGGAACGTTGTTTCACTCAGTCCCACACCATCTCTTCCTTCTTCTTTTTTACCCGAACAAGGTGGCCTTGAAACCTGGCCAAGAAAACAAATGACATGAGAGTGTGTCACAAAGGTGACACGGGAACCAGCAACCAACAACTCTCCTCCTACCCTTCAGTATTTTCGTGTTTTCGTGTTTGTTACCTTAGCGGCCTTGGCGGCCTGTGTCTGCTTTTGAAAATACATAATACATAAATCAACATCACTTTAAATGCTATGCGCTCCTTATTTTAAACTGTTGTACTATTTATTATATATCAAGGACAAACACCTAGAATTCAACAGTAGTAGTATCATAACAATGCATGCAGGTGAATTGAAACTGTTTATCTTGTACTGTAATCCTTACCAAATACCGGAAGGGACAACCTGTGAACTTGTGAACCCCTTTATCCGCACGTGATTGGAGTACAGCCGCCATATGCCAATTGAATATAAACTGGTCTGATGGTGGATCCGGATACGGTTGTGTCCTTGCGTTTTCCTGCTGCTTTTGTATGTACAGTCTTGTTTCATGTGTTTTCTTGGGATTCTATTTGGGCTCGTATTCTAACGTCTAGTGCTCATTCGGTTTATCCCGGGTGTCCCAATAATGACACCTAAAGTTATGTTGGGCGATGGCAGCCATACAGGCCAACCATCAAATAGTTTTTTTGTGAAAAAAAGAAAAAACAAAATAAAAACTAATAAAAATGCAAAAACAAAGCAAAACACAAAAACAAAGCAAAACAAAAGCAAATAACAAAGCAAAAACAAAGCGCAATAATAGGCAAAAAAACACAAAAACGAAGAAAATACGAAACAAATGCGAAAATAAAGCGAAAAAATGCGAAAATAAAGCGAAAAAACAAGTGAAAAAAAAACGACAAATACGCACAGCTACATTTTTTCTGTTTGCTTTGTTTTTGCTTTATAAAACTATTTTGGCTCCTTGTATCTATGGCTGGCATGCCCGACATAAACCTAAAGCAATGTTGTTGTTGTTGTTGCTGTTGTTGTTGTTGAAGCCCCTTTGTGAGACAAGGATGCTGAGGATCATCCTAATGCAGCGGTGTCCGTCACTCACGTACATGTGGTGGCTGCCGCTCTGCCTGGCGCTGACCGCGCTGGAGCACAGGCTGCCGCTGCTTGAGCTGCATCTTGGACCTGCCCTGTGGTTCAGCTGGTTCGGCCACACTGCTGCATCATCGAATCCCACAGCTTGCCCCTTGATCCTTGCGCATTCCCCTAAGTACTCACAACCGCGGTCCCAATTCCGCGGACCAGGTGGTCCCTTGGACCCTTGCTTCGTTTCGCACGTCGCTCCTGGTAGGGGTGAGGGTGGAATGCTTGCCATGGAGCATTCGAGAGTGGATAACATTTTTGATCATGATCCACTCATTCGACCTTCCACGAATATACATGGACACAAGCCGGTCTGTTGGGGAAGCTTCAAGCACTTGCATCCCCATAATAAAAGAAGTTTCAAACGAGCCCAAGTTCGAGCCAGCCGAGATGGATTTGCATGGTACAAGGGACGTGTGTTCGACCGCCAACAATTAGGATGTCCCATGAAGCCTACTGTCCAAGCCAAGCCATCCTCCACTCGATCCCAACCGAATCGGACCATTCGAGATCTACGTGTCCTTGCGTGGAATAGTACCGGCTTGGCGAGCTGGAAACTGGACGAGCTTCGTGGATGGCTGCATGGCCAACCTTTTCAGCTCGTGGTGGTATCAGAGACCCGCTGGGAGCACGACAAAGAATGGACTGAAGACGGATGGTTTCATGTTGCTTGCAGCGGCAACCCCTTTCGGTCTTGTGGCCTTCTGGTCATGGTGAGGACTTCATTTTGCACCTCCACCCAAATCAGTTGGCAGTCCCTGATCCCTGGACGATTGCTCCATCTCAGGATCCATCTCGATCGCCCGCTGGATGTGATTGGATGCTATCAATACACCTTCGTAAATCAGGGTTCGTGCAAACAGAATCCCTAAACGGAATAATCTTGTTGTTCTAGGTGATTCGAACTGCATAGGTCGAGTTGGTGATTTTGTTGGATCCCAGGGCCGCCTCACTGGACCCACTCATCCAGACTGGAAGTCCCACTTGGACCTGATCCAGACCCACGACCTCTGCGCCCTCAACACCTGGCGGACCGGCTCAGGCCCTACCTGCTGCACTGCTAAGGGGGACTTGTCACGTATCGACTATGTGTTTACACGCATGAGACGGAGTGACCGAGAGGTGCTTGAAGCCACGCCAATCGAAACCTTCGACGTTCTAGGACCTTCGAAGATTGGCCATCGGCCCATTGTTGGCTCGATCAACTTGGCTTGGAAACCAGCTTCAGGCGCAGCCCTGCAACACATCACATATCATGGTAGAGTACGTTGCCGAGCCGCGCAACAGGATGGACCTCAATGGTCCTCGTTTGCTTCGAACAACACTGCTCTCTTGACTGAGGCGCCTTGGACAGACATTCATGACATGTTGACCCAAAACTCCCAGTCTCATTTTCATGCCAAACCTGCTCAGCTCCCATTGCGGCGCAAAACGCAAGGCCTGATGGCCACCAAGTGGCATATATACTCACCCGCTTGCGGAACATCACACAGATGTCACTCAGGAACTGCTTTCAGGCTTGGCAACCTGTGATGGAGCATCGACGCTGTCACAATCTCCAAAACGGTTTTCCCTGCAGGCCCGCAAAGATCGAATACACCACATGCTTGATGAGGCCAGCCAGGCTGCTGCTAAGAATGACTTGTTTACCTTGTTTAATCTTGTTCGTAAACTTTCGCCTAAAGAGACCAAGACATCCATTCAGTTAAGAGGAGATAATGGGGAGCTTTTAAGCCATCGAAGCATTTGCCCATCTTTCTCATTTTGTTCAATCGTCGTGGGATGGACCTGTTCTTTGCTCTCCGGGAGGCCTGTCCCCGGTGTGCCTTTCACTGAGCAGGATTTAGCTGGTGCGTTTGCACGCCTTAATACGATGAAGAGCACGGCACCTGGTTCGTGCCCCAATGTTTGTTTGAAAGCAAGTCCTATTGAGGTTGCAAAACAATTGCACCCCCTCTTTGTTCGATGCATCCCACAACAATGGAAAGGTGGGTCCTTGTTTCTGTTGCCCAAACCTGGCAAACGTCCTGACAAGGCCATCAACCTCAGGCCACTTGCACTTCAAGACCCCGTGGGAACCACCACTCTTGGCCTCATCGCTGGCCACGCCAGACAGAGTGTGCTGACTAAGCTTTGCGCGCAACCTCAGTATGCCTACCTGCCTCAACGAGGAACCTATGAGGCCATCAGTCGAGCTGTCGCCCATTGTAAGCTCGTTCGCGAGGCCTTACTTCGGTTTCGTCGTCCGCACGATTATCGTGAATCTCAAAACTCTAGGTCGGAACTTGTTGGTGGATTCACCATTAGTATTGACCTCAAACGAGCTTTTGATAGTCTCCCAACACCACAGCTTTTCGCTGATCTTCGAGCACTTGGGGTTGAGGCATCATGCATTCAACCCCTCCAGGGATGGCATGTGGGCACTCGTTATTGGATTGAACACAAAGGGCATCAAAAGTTTGTGGACGTTCAGCTTGGTGTGAGACAAGGGCGCCGCGCCGCTCCTTTTCTGTGGGCAAGCAGCATGTCTCGCCTGTTGAGCAAATTGGCGCAACTCACGAGTCCTGAATGGATGATCCGGGCGCTGACCTTATACGCAGACGATTTTCTGCTTCAATGTGAGGTATGCTGTGAACAAGATTTGTGGGACCATCTACATGTTGTGGGTATTCTTTTTGACTTCTGGAACAAGCCGGTCTTGTTATGAACATGTCCAAAACAGTTGCTCTCTTCAACATCAAAGGGAAGCACCTCCGGAAACTTCAATCCAGAGTTCTTACACAGAAGAACCACCAATGGTTTCTGGTCATCCCACGCTTGAGCGGTCAAGCCTCTCACGTTAAACTGGTCACGGACATCAAATACCTGGGCATCAAGTTGGGCTAAACCAACTGTGAGAGGCTCACCCTTGAGCATCGTTTGGCGGCTGGAAGACAGGCTAAGCGACGCCTGCGTCGATGGTTGTATGGAAAAAAAAGGCCTGGATCCACCACAACGACGTAGGCTCTGGAAAAGCATTGTTCGAACAACCATGCTCTATGGAGTTTGGGCGACTGGTACTTCATCAGCGGGGCTCAAGCAGTTGACCACGCAGATGGTGACCATGCAACGGATGATTTACATGAACCACTCACATCGAACACGTGAATCACACGCTACCTTCTTTC